TGTGACATTCTTCACCCATTCTTGATTTCCTTGTAGTGTATTTCACCTGCTGTATCCCTTATTGCTGTATCAGTATAGCTGCAGGCTAACCAGCCAACTTCTCCCTTCACATTGTGTGCAATGTCCAGCAGTTTCTCACACCGTTGCCTTGTCAGTTTAACATCAGGCCAGGGCTGGGTTTACCTTCATGCCGTAACAACCATATCTCCTTTGTGGCTTTTGAGAAAGGGGCAAACATTGTGGGCTGTACCCAAGTGAGTTACTGTAAGACATGCTAAGCATTCCTTTTGCTGTAAGGCTTTGGCAGGAATACTTATTCTGATTTTGTGCTCTATGTTTCCAAAAAGATATTGACCAGAGGTTTTCCATGGTCCTGTGGACAGGTTGAAAGACATAGACAGAGGTATAAAAGAAATACTCAGGAATGATAATTTTGTGCTCAGAGAATAACGGTGTAAAGCAGCAAATAATGATGCCACACAAGCTGTGTATTCTTATTCATGCATTTTTGCTCCATTTATGAACTGAATAAGCTTTTTTTACTCTTCCAGTCTAAGGTCAAAATAATTTGAGTCTTTAGTGGATAGGGCAAAAACAATCTTAAATTGTGATTACAGCAAGAGAGATTCATGTTTGACATAAGAAATAGATTATTGAGAGAATAATCTATTATTCTAGAATATATTATTGAGAGAAATTATGAAACCTGCATTGCTAGAGGTCCTGAGGACATTAGGAAAGCATTTTTTAAAAACAAAATAGGTATCATAGCTACTGCATTTTGGAGAGGGTAAAATACTAAGTTTCTCAGAAGCCTCTTTTCTACTCTGTTTGATAATTATATGGTCATAATTCTAAATAAGAAACTTTTCAAATATGGAGGGTTTTCTCATTGTTCCTCATAGCAGAACTGCTGCTGCAGGCATGCTGTGAGCACGTTTGCCTGGCTTTATCCTGCAGCATATAAGAAACCCTGCACCTCCAGTTTACAGGTTTATCTTTTTGTTTGTTTGTTTTGCTTGTAGGGGTTTTTTTTGGGGGGGGGGATTTTTTTTGTTTGTTTAGGGGGGTTTTTGTTTGTTTGTTTGTTTGTTTGTTGTTGTTGTTGTTTTGTTTTCTAGAAATAGAGAAAAATGTTTTTAAAAATATGTAGCAATACAACTAGTTTATCCTAATTATTAGTCCGGGAAAGTTAGATTCTTGCAGACCATAATTTTACAGTTTACATCTGTGGAAGGGGAGAAGGACTAAATTCCTTTAAACATAAAGAGACCACAGAGATAGAATTGATATCTTCCTTAGTAATTGTTTTAACTTCATTTATATGTGAGATCAGTTTTTCAATTCCTAATGAAATTGTCTTGGTCTGCTTCAGAGACTTTTTCTGGGACCTCAGGTCCTCAATTGAAAAAACTTGCTCTAACAGAAGTATGACCTCTTTAAAACACTTAAACTTTTTAACATCTGGTCAGCTAATATGCAGTGAGGTAAACAGCTGCAGTTTAAAATTCTTTCTTTTTTATTTTCTGCTTACTAGGTGTATATTATTGTTGTAATATTGCTAAAATATAAAGTAGATGTTTAAGCCAAAAAGAAAAGAAGTTGTGAAGGACCTGAGTTTTCCATTTTTGTTTAGTTTGGTTAGCCTGCTGCACAAGTACTGCTACTGACCAAGTATAATATAAGAATGCATAACCAGTGAGGCAACTTACTGGCAGTTCCTGTCTTCAAGAGAGAGCTTTGTGCTTTGAATCCTAATTTGAACAAGAAGGCTATAATGAATAAAGGTGAGAGATATCAGGTCCAATTTACCAGCCTCCTTGTTAAAACAAAGAGTAGAAACTATTATTTCTACCCAGAAGGACTCAGAATACAAATTTTGTGGAGGCAGACAGTGGCTGGAAAGATACATGAATTCAGATACATAGTTCCCTTCAGATTGGTACACATGTTGCCATTTGTGGTGTTCAAACTGTGCCTCGCTTGGAGTTACAAATTTCATTCTTTAGCTAAAGCACATAAAACATTTGAGTGTCATAATTTTTAAGTTCCTCTATAGTTTGCTCTCTAAAACATTATGCTTTAAAGAGTAGCCATTTGGACATAACTGAATGCAACTGATACACAATGGAAACCATTAATGTAAAATATCAAAACTTACAGCATTCTAATTTTATTTTAATTTTTACTTTATTTTTAGTTAGTCTTTATGTATGTGAAACGACTGCTTGCCTCCCCTTCACACCCCCCAACCTTTCAAAATATGCCATCTACTACTTGCTTTGGAAAAAAACCAAAAAATTACTAAAGCTACCTCAAGATGTACTTCTCTTTGCTTTCTTGATTTGTTATTGTTCCATCATGCCTCATGGTACAACACTGGTTGCTAACTTGCAGGTCAAGCTGGCATCTTGTGTGGATTCTTATCCCACTTTAATTACATAAGTGTACCCGTCTGTTCTGACGTGTCATACATAGAGATCTCCTTGATTTTCTTTCTTCAGTTCCCTCTGGAGTGTTTTGCATCATTTACTTTTCATAACTATTTAACTTAAAGTACTATATACAAAATGTACTGACTGCTTTATTAAATTTAATACATGTTAAGTTTCTAGTCATTGCAGCACCTAGATGCTCTATTGCTGTAGAAAATCAATAAGTGCAAATAAGAACTTTCATTTATCTGCTATGATTGGATTACATTTTGTTAGTGACTTGTTTTATCTCCTCATAATGAATGCCATTGCTCATTTTCTTCCTACAGGAACTTTTAGAAAGTGTGTTAGAACATGTTAGAAACGTAATAATACATCAATGGTGTATGGGTAGTTTTCCATGTAGCTTTGAATGGCAGTGAAAGCAATGCTGAGAATGGGACAGTTTGCAGTGTTATGCCTTATCAGCACTCCTTAACACTTCAAATGGAAGGTTTTGATCCAAATAACTGAACAGCTTTTGTCCCAGGACTAATATTCTCACCCACGTACTAAGATCCAATTAAAATCTCAGTAACCCATGCATGAACAGCTTATTAAGAGTTATTGAGTACTAACACTTGTTTGCTTTTGTGAAACTGAATAATTATTATTTCTCCATTTCTGTGGTCTAAACAATCATTAAATAAACCATTCAATAAGAAAGTTGTGTGGAAAGAAATTAAATATATATATATATATATATTTGATATATCTGTTAAAAATACATAATTTTATTATTTTATCAGTATATGCATAAGTTAATCAAACACTGTTTCTGATAAATAAAATTCTTTTATTTTCATTCTTTACTTTTTGGGGACTTTGTATAGGCAATTTTATGGGCAGATATACATTTGGAATTCTCTTTTCTTTAATTTTTTTCTCCCAAGTATTTTGTAATTGTTTTCCTCTCTTTAGAAACTTGTATAATGTACTTGCTTTTGTTATTTTAATTTTAATTTCTCCAGTTTCTTTTTTTTCTTAATAGATTCTTTCTCTTTTTAAATATCTTTTGCTTAGTCTTTTCCTCTTCCTCTTTCATATTCATTAGCACTTACTTTTCAGGTTGCCATAATAAGTGGTGTTAATTTGCAAGTCAGCAACTGTGACTTTAGGAATGTAAAGGAAAATATAGTATTGGTCATGTGCTGTGATTTGAACATCATTCTTTTTGTTTGTATTATTTAATATTATATTACCACCCTAATAAACTGAATATATAATATAATTTGTAATAGAATATCAACAATAATATAGTATATTTTGCTAAAGTGATGAGGTTTCTGAATATCCTGTTTTGACACTTCTGCTGACTGCTATAGAAACAATCTTTTAGTGAAAGTTATTAAATTTTCAGAATAACAAATCAAGAACTGGAAGGGCTACTGTATTTATTGTGCTGCTTCTTAGATCTCCTTTAAAATGTTAATGCAGTATAGAGAAGGATTGTCTGGCTCAACATATTGATTTATTATTCATTTATTGATAAATTGATTGATAAGAGACATAATTGAGACATTAAATACCAACATTAGAAAACAATGTGTGAGGTTTTCATGATACAAGAGTATAAGCATTCATCTATACTATTAGCTAGTGCTTTGACATTTCTACCCCTGTGTAAATCATTACTGCCTGTAGATGTAGCCTTAATTGAAAATAAGCAAGCTTATCAGCAAGAATTGTACATTCAGATTGGTGACTCATCTGGATTTAAATACCTGTTTCATGAGCAACATTTTCCTCTTAATGTATGCCAAATGGAGCCTAGAATGTTTTTCGCTTGTTATTTTTCATGGGTAACTACATTCACTATATTCTGCTACCACACTATGAGATTATTCCTTTATAAATTTGCATTTACCTCAAAGAGGAAGCATGCAGTTTTACTTAGTTTTATTTTTTCTTAGCATTAATTTCTCTGGAAAATAAAGGCAAATATTGTAACACTGGTAAAGTTTTGTAACCACTGAATTTGACATCTCATTCTATGAGAACCTATGAGATAAAGTGTATATGAAAAAAATATATAAACTCTGAAAGATGATAAGTGCAGCAAAGACTTTGTTAACAGTGGCAAACGTGAACCTAGAGAAAGCTGTTTGATTTGATATATCTAGTGGTTTGTTCAGATGTATTTCTTCAGAGGTACATGCAATAGAAATGTCAGTATGTCCGAGTTTTGACACTGCTATAGATAATGTAGGATGATGGTTTTTATAAACTGCCTGCTGAACTACTTCTGTACACATAGGTTTCTGCTGGCTCAAGTGAGAGTCTGCTTTGAGATACATAGGTGGGTTTTAAAACTGTGATTATTTCAGATGAGATTCGGACTACCAGTACTGTAAGTTTAATTCTCTTCAAGGACTTCTGACACACTGCCACAATACTATATGCTTCAGGAATATGCAAGTGGTGGGAAGGCAAATGTGAAGGGTATGATACATCCCATTCTAATAAAACCGCTCTTAAGATCCACTTAAAAATAGAGCTTTAATATTCAATTATTTTCTTTTACAGGTCATACATATGGGATGGGTAAATGAGAGACTTGAAGGAACTGATTCATCTCAGCTCTACAAATTCAAGTTTCTGGCACTGAAGGGTTCATCCTTCTATATTTTCAGCACTCCACCGGTAAAAAATTAATATTTTTGTGGCAGTTTCATTGTAAATGGATACATGTTGGTTATGTCTGGGTTTGTCTTCCTTTATCAAGTGAAGTTGTCAGCTGAGATTTCAAAATAAGTTAAAGCCAGAGACGCCACTGAATTTCAATAAGCTTTAGAAATTTAGCCTCTTTCAAGGTCCTCTGAAAATCTTACTGTACCTGGATAGTTTAAAGAATTCCTAGTAGGGAGTGTTTTGCTTTTTGAAGTTGCCAAGGTCAGGTTTTTCTTTGAGTGGTTAGGCCTAATGTTTCTTACCTTATTTATTGTAAGGTATTCGTAAACGTAGTGAGCTGGCAGTTACTCTGTTTTCTTAAAGACAAGATAGATCATGAAATAAACACCGCTGTGGTATGAGTAGATACTTGTGGATTTTTCACACAGGCAAGTGGTTAAAGTATTACAGAGAATCCAATGCTAAGAGTATAGCCTGAAAAAGTCTTGCTTGGGTAATTTACATACCTAGTAACAAGAATTCTGTTTCACAGATGACGTACCTAATACTTTTCTAAAAATTAATTTAAAAGAATGAAACAGAAATGAGCTGCAGAATTCTACACTGTTCCAAAAGAGTGACCCATACTTACCACATGGTAGTGTTTAATCCTTTCTTTCTTTTTTTCTCCAGAGAATCTTTGCTTTAAACAAACCAAAAAGAATAAAATTGGAATGCCATTTCAATTATATAACTTGCTTACAGTTTTTCTCAGAAGATGGTCAGTCTCACAGTTTTGTCAGGTGATCCAAAGAGAATCTGACCCTTTATATGTGTACTGTCTGCAGTACCTTTGAGAATCACATACTTTTCAAAAGTTATTTATGAACCTCAATGAAATGCTATAAGTAAAATTTCCCCCTCTCTAGGTTGAAATTCTTAATCCAGTGATTCCTATCAACTTCAAGCATTTTAAAATAGCCAATAATATTCCTTTAAAAATGAAACAAGACATCTGAGAAAATCAGAGGTTCTCCCCCTCTAAAAATTGGGAGTTTAATATGTTAAGCCAAGGAACTAAAATTTGATTCAATCACTACAATCCATTTTCATTTTCATGGCTTGACTTCGCGAACGAAGATTTGGGGAAGGCTCTATCCACATTTGTTGCAAGCGCGTTGGTGGCTAAAAAGGCCAATACGAGATAGACATGTCCGATTGCAAAAGGCACAACAGAAAGACTCCTTAGGTGGTATATTCTGCAAGTCACGGTTCTTTCTGCTCTTTCACACACCCCATGAATGCTTTTCCTCTATAAATTTTAACCTATTTTTAAGATACATTTTTTATATAACTAGAACTATCCATCTACATGATACTAACAACTTTGGGATAAACAACTTCATTTGCCATGTTCAGTACTCTGTTAAGAACAGACAAGGGAGGATGACTGTTTGGTAGTGTTAGTACAATGTTACTTAACAGAATCTGATATACTCTGCCATGTTTCTGCCCAATTTATTTTTTTTTCTTTGTAGAAACAGTGGCTTTCAAAAAAATGAACAAAAGGGACCCCTTTGGTCAATGTGTTATGTCATCCAAATACTATGATACACCAGTAAATGTCACAGTCTTTAAGTCATAAAAGCTGTTAACCAGTTTTCGTGCCTTTCAATCATTCCACAGATGGTTTTTATCAGAGGGAAAAAAACCCAAACAAAACCCCCAAACAAACAAACAAGCAAAAACCAAAAAGAACCCCAGCAACCACCCACCTGAAGAATTCAAACACAGATCTAAGACACACTTTGAAGCTGATTATCAGTCTCCTGAGGGCACCTTCAGCCCTGGCTTTTGCTGACCCCCTTCCCTGGGGCTCACCCCAACCTTCTCACAGCCCAGGATCCCATTGCAGCCCCACCAGTGCAGCAGGGCCAGTCTCCAGCTTCACAACCCTGTCCTGCCCAGCCATGAGCCCCAGTGAGCCAGGGCCACCCAGGAGCCCATGTCTAGGCCTGGCCTCAGCCCATCCCTGCTCCCAAGGAGATGCCTGGTGCCCAGAGCTGGGGATGTCCCAGTCCCCCTGGCTGCCCTGCTCCTGGCTGGGACATGTACTGGGCCCAGCTGGGGTGGAGGTCACTTTCTTCATAGCTACCCATGTGGCAGTGGGTTTCTTATTTGTGGCCCAGGCGGTGCTAACACACCAGTGTTTGGGCTGATACTGAACAGTGCTTGTACAGCCTTTCTGTTGCAAGCTGTTGCACTCCCCAGCAAGCAGCCTGGGGGTGGGCAAGGCGGGGAGTGGGGGGGGAGACACAACCAGGACAGCTGACCCAAATAGGCCAAAAGGGATATCATGTGCCATAAAACATCATGCTCTGCAATAAAAAATGAGGAGCTGGTCTTCAAAAGTATCCATTGCTTGGAGACTGGCTGGGCGTTGGTCTGCCTTGGGTGAGCAGTGTGCAATCACCTTTGCTTCAATTGATTTCTTTTTCTTTCCATCACTTATTAAACTGTCTTTATCTTGCCTCAAGAATTTTTCTTAATTTTACTCTTCCTGTTGTCTCTCTCACCCCATGGCAGGGGACAGGGAGTTAGTGAGCAGCTGTGGGTGTGTTTAGCTGTTGGATGGGATCAGCACACTGCAGGGTGATGGGATGGGAACTAGCTGGTAAGGACCCTGCCCTGGCGGACCTCAGGGGAGCTCCGATGGCATCCAGGGAGCCACCAACCCACTCTGTGCCCTGACACTGGTTTTGGTCACATGTCCCAGCTCTGTATCTGTGCATAGACCTCTTTCACTATTTCTAGAGATACTTGAGCGTATTGCTCTTACCATTACTCCTACTGACATTTATTTTTTTAGTTGAGGGGGGGAAAATGTTCTATCACAAAAATACAGATGTTTTAACTTGCTTGATCTTTAGAGGATCGAAGTTTAATATGTTTTATTTCAGAGATGTTGCTATTGCTATTTGTATACTGAATCAACGTAGCATATCAGCGTATCAATGTAGTGTACACAGAGCAGATGACCTACAAGTTCTACACTTATTCTTTTCTGTAACTTTACTACTGCCTGTAAAGGGCTCTAGTAGAATTTCCACTCTTTTTCTATTCAATTGTGTGTAAAAGATGACGTGAATGTAAATGCAGCTGCTAGCTTTCATAAGAATGGATAACATAGTTACCCATGAGCAAAAATAAAGAAAATTGTGGAAAAGTGTGGGTATTATAATATGAAAGAAATCACTATGTCAAGTAATATTCTATTTATACATTATTTCTACGATATCTCAGATGGTGTTTCCAAAAATGTAGAAGCTTCACCATAGAAGTACGTATCAAGAATGATGTGATTAACAGAGAATGGTCTTTCTGCATCCCTGAAGAGGCTTATCTGACTGTATTTAAGATATTTACAGATTTCATTTACAGATTGCTATATTACAATTGTGACACATTTCTGAAAGCTGCATATCTGAAAAACACCATTGAACAAATAGAAATTGTTCTTTTAATATGCAAGTTGTATTTTATTACATTCTAAAAGCATCTATATAATTCCTGACAATTTTCAGATATTGAAAAAGTTCTGAATTTTTATTCTAGTAGAAATTGAGGAGAAAGTATTCAAAATTGTCATTCAAAATCAAACTATTTTTTATGTCATTGAAAATTTCCAGAAAAAAAAAATTTGAATAGTTTGTTTTTATGGAATATGGGCTATATGTAGGAGATGTTTATAGTGTTTCATTTTTTGTGTCTTCCTCATAGTTCATTAGAGTTTTTCAATTAAAGTCTTCAAATAGCCATATCTTTGGATCTACTGTGTAACCCTTAATTACAAAACTATCTTTTTCCATGTGATTAAATAAATAGCACTGAAGTGATTTACATGAAGGCAACTAGGCTATCACTGCATGTGCTGCTTGGAGTTTTAAGAAAAGAATTAATATGAGAATAATATGAAAATAACAGAAATAGTCCTACCTTAGACAGCACAGAGAAGATTGCATGATGTAATTCACACAAGCGGTGTTTTAATTAATGTTAGAGAGTACTGCTGTGTAAGTTCTAAATATTTCTGTTGGTAATTTACATTATACATTATGTCAATGTAACATATTAGGAGAGAGATGGCAATGATTTGAAGGGCGTAGACTTGACCATGAGTGCTTTTGGTGAACTTTCTAACTTTACACCCAAGTCTTTATCTTGTTCATATATTTGCCAGATCAGACTGCGCTTTAGTGTGTGTTTTGCACTATCCAGTTTTGAGTTGCTTTGAGCATCTTTAGGATTCTTGTAATGCCATGTCATAGTTCATCTCAGGAACATGTCTTACTTTCTTGTTTTTCTTTTTAATATTTTCTAAATTTTTTTTAATTATTCTTGCTTCATTTTCTTTTTCCATTGAGGAGTGAAGCAAATAGTGAAACTAATTACTGTTTAGCTAGACGTTACTTCTCCCTAGACCTTTTTAGTACTTCTAGGCAGATTGGATACTTCTGCTTAATTCTCAGTTAATGCAGCATCCTCTGTATTTCAGTAATAAATATTATAGACACTTTGATCTTTTTTCCCTTAAGTTTTATTCTTTAAATTTATTCATTTTTTTAATATTTTGAGGGGCTCTGGAGAATTCTAGAATCAGATTCAGTGTTCAGAGAAAGTCAAAGAGTATGTTATGTTCCTTTTGACTTTAGCAAGTTTTGAAGTGTGACTCTTTTACGTTCACACCATATTTCTTTATTGGGTGGTGAGCTCTGAACAGGCATGAGAGTCTTTTATGCCTATTTTATAATTATAGAACTCTTGTCTAGGGAGTAAATTCTTGAGTTTGTTGTTTACTGCATGTGTTTTTTTAAAATTAGTTTAACTTTACTGTTTTCTCTCTATTTTAAACCATGACTTTTTAAAGAAAAACCAGTGATTAACACACACATTTAAAACTAGGTATATTTGGAATATGAGCATGAACTGATGCCGAGATCACCTGGTCTAGCTAAGTAAAACTAGATTTTACTAGTTTATTTATTTTCAGAACTTACTGTAATGCCATTTTTTAAAACATGAGGAAATTGCAGAAACTCATGCTGGTAAAAAGTACTTCTGCACCACTTGGAACTTCTGTAACTTTAGATGCTTATTTCAGTCTCTCATTATGTACTTAAAATTGTAACTTCACATTCCTATTTTTATATCTTTGTTCATTTTTTGTTATCTTTTTGATCAGCTCAATTTTATCTGTGTTTAAAAATGTGTTATTTTTATCTATTCTGAATATGCCTTTTTGAAACATTTTATCAAATGCTTCATAAAAAATAATTATATTGTCATGCTGAAATAATCCCAAGAAACTGCAATTTATAGAACACCTACAGGAACAGTTCCAAGAGGAAATAATGAGAAAAACTATTTTATTGCCTAAGAAATATACTTCAGGATCTCATTTATCTTAGTTACTTATTACCCAGGTACTAAATATGTGATGATGGATAACCTACAATAAACTGAAACATTCTTTAAATCAAATGAAGGATAGTGTCCTTTTCACGAACTTTTCAGATTACTTCCAGCTTTTCTCCTTGACTAGAAGTATATGATTATTCATTATTTTTTTTTTAAAAAGCAATGCAGTCTGTAACAATAACATTTTAGACTTAGACATACTATAATAGTTCTGATAAAATTATGAATAATGTCTGTTTAGATTCTACTCTACTGTCTCTTTACATTCTACTATTCCTTTGTAGTACATTTGTTTTGCCTCCTTAAAATTCCTCTCAACATGTCATTTGTGTTCTGATCACCTTGCAATGATATTTAGACTGTTTCACTCTTTAAAAAGTGTGGTAGCCTTTTTCTGACATACACAGTAAAACAGAATCTTGGCTTATATACAGTTATCATCATCACTAGCTATCTTTTCTGAAAAAGTCATAAGAGGTTACACAGCATCAAAAGATCAAAGAGGTGCACAGGATAATGGAAGAAGTCTGAGGTATTCAGAGTGAATTTAATGGCACAGCAGTGTCACCATTATCCATCATTAATAGCAGCAAAGAATCCCAACAGTTTAAATTAATCTTCAGGAATCACAACAAATTATATGGGCAAATGAAAGTACATTCATATCTCAAGAGTTTTTAGGTTATAGCCTGTGTCACTAAAGCCAAATTCATAAACAGCAGATTAAGTTGTGGTTTGGATTCTCGTCATTTTGTTACAATTCTGTTTAATGGCTTAGATTTGAAAAAGACCTGAAAATTAAACTTTAAAATAAATTTAAAAAAAAAAGGGAACATGCTGGTCTCTATGCAAATCACCAGGAACAATATTGGGTTTTATGGGTGAACTATGTGCTACTCTGAACACAGATAAAAAGAATCTGTTATTGAATTTCATAGATTTTTCCTAGTTAAGTTTCATCCACATAAGCCAGGTGTTTTACAATATTTTGCTTTACCTAAATAGTTTTAATTTGATTTTTCCACTTTTTTTCTTTTGGGTGGGTGGTCAGAACAGGACAAAGCTGTATCAGCTCTAGAATTTTAAAATATCCTAGTTGCTATTAGAGTTACCAAAACAGTAATTTCCATATGCTAAAGGCCTCAAAGTTACAACTTAGTGAAATTCTTCACGTATCTATGCAGCTATTCCTGTGTTAGCATTTGCCAAGAGCTGGAATTTTGCTCTAAAATGTATAAGCAAAAATAATGTGTATTCCCATTGAATTTTTCCTGTGTATAAGTTCTTTTTTGCTTTCTTAAACTACATAGGCTAGGTACTGTTTTCAAAAGGAAACAGATTATCGCACTGTATCACAAAGTAGAATTTTTGTAAAAACTTTAAATGTCATTCTTACTGTCAAGTTTTAACAACTTGACATGTCAACAGGATTAATTAACAAAATCAAAAGAAAAAAAATAGATGTTTTCTTATTATTAAGCACATGGTTGACATGGTTCTTAATTTCAAATATTTCAGTTAGATAGATCTAGTTTTAGAATAAATATTGAGTTTTTGCCTCTCTGATGCATGTAAACTCAGACCTGAATTTAGGAATACATCTTGTTCTCTTGGTTGCAAGATTTTTTTAAGATTGAGACATGAAGCTGAATGACCGTGTTTGAAACTCTGGATTCTCTGTGTTAGCATCTTGAAAAATAAATATGCTCACGTAACTCACTACAGAGATTGCAAAGAGCTTTCCATAATACTGGTAAAAAAATCAATTAAATTTTTTTAGTATCTTTTAATTACACTAAGACTACTGTTTCTGTAAAAATTTAATAGTATTTGACAATGTTTTATAATGCTGGATATAAAGTGTAGCAATGTGCCTGTATTTAAGCATCCAGCAGAATAATGATGGGTGAAATCTTTTTAGTTTTTTTTCATTTCTACAAGATTTTTGAATAAATAATGTGTTGACAATATTTTCTTTTGATGTTATAGGTAAGCACACTAGACTGGGTACGAGCTGAAAAAATCTATAACCTCTGTGAGGTTCTATTTAAAATTCACAAGGTAGGTTTTCTAATGATTACAGTGGTATTATTTAGTAAAGAAAGCTTGCTTTTTCCTGTTGATGATAAGCTCAAGGTAATCTTAACTAGGAGTAACTAACGTTCAAATAGTTCATCTGTTTTTATAAAAACTATTTGTAATCTCTAGTACATTAGCTGTGCAAGTATAAGAGCATATAGAAAATGGATTAAGCTCCAGGTGATCAAGTTACTCAAATGCTATCATATTGAAGAAAGTTTTCAGTATTAGAGCTGGTTGTATGAAGTATCAGTGAGACACACAGCTAAGCATAACGATACTTCTTTTATCTTAGTGAGTCAGATTTTTGGGCAAACGTGGAAAATGCTCTTGCTGTAATTTTTGTTCTATATAAAAATATCTTTATTTAATTTCAGTAATTAAAAATATAAAATTATGTCCTTGTTATGTCGTTTGTAATTTGCAAGTATTGCAGTAGGTAATAGTACAGTAGGTTTTGCCTTACAAAGGGCAACATGTTGGATTTGTATTCCATAAAATTCATTTTCTTCCCTCAACTTGATAGAGTCATGTTTTCTGTCTAGCTTGTCCAAAGCAAGGAGTTGGGGCAAAAAAATTAAATAGTTGACTTGCAGAATATATTTTCTAATAAATTGCATTAGATAGATTAATTTTGTTTTCTACCAGCTAATCAAAAACTGCTTTGGAGGTGAGATAATGCTAGATGAGAGCCTATTTGTCTAGGAGAGTAAAATCAAACATATTTTCAGGAAAAAAAATAAAAATTCATGTTTTCAGATAAAATACTATTTCACTCAAAGATTACAGCTCAGCTTTACTTCTCAGTGGCTGCTGTCCTTTCTCTCTTGACCATGTACTCATGTCGTGGAAAAGGCAGCTTGTTGCCCTTCTACCTATACAGGTCCTGCACTGAAGGAGAAGTGCGTATGGTTTTGGTGAGGGGTTTTTGTTTTGTTTTGGGGTTTGTGGTTGGTTTTGTTTTGTTTTGAGGTTGTGGGTTTTTTTGGTTGGTTGGTTGGTTTTGCTTTGTGTTGTTTTTTTATTTTGTTATTCAGTTACTCAGGACATAGGAAGGAAGGGTTTTGGTCAATACCATGCCAGGAAAAACAACAGGCCTGGAGTTCAGGACTAGACCTCAACTCCACAGTGCAAGACACAGGAGCACAGCCATACAGCTGAGCTTATGTGGGCAACTTCAGGTCCTGCCCATCACTGAGACATCAACAAAAAGCAGAGGTTCTGCCCCAGATCGTTTATTCATTCTCCTTAATATTTTTTAAATTTTATTATTTGCTGATAAATATGTCAGGCACCAGTGAAATATATACTTGGTATGCCTTTTGGAAAGATTTTACTATGGCTTGAGTTTTCATTTTGTTTTTTTTCTCCTTTAAATATTACTGCTGAAACTCAGTCCTTTCTTGAATATTATTGCAATTTCAAGGATATTCTGTCCTTAAAGCAACTTCTGTGATACTTTTTCGTTAAGAAAAAGAAGTGGGCAAATAAACTATCGAAAATTCAAATCTTTAATGTTCTTGACATTTTAATAAATGAATGCTTAATTGCCAGTCTTCATGAATATGTTAACTAAAGTGCAAAAGCCCAAGTTCAACTCTTTAACCTCTTTTATGTTGATTCTTGGTATAAATGGCAGTGAGACAAACTGAGCAAATCCAAAAAGATAGGAAAAAATCTTAAGGGATTAAGGTTTCTGCATTGAATATGAAAGACAGAGTTATGTTGTAAAAACTCCTGTTTGGGGAGGGTGTTAAGGATTTTCAGAAACTGGTTAGAATTAGCACAGAACTGTGGTAGAGTATGCTATTGTTTCTTCTCATGAAAGATGGATTTGAAGGATAGGTGCTCTTATTACATACCTAACTGTATTATGACACAAAGTTAAGCATGGAAACTTAGAACCCAATATGTAATTTATACTTTGAAACAAAATGATATATTTTAGATTTGTATGTGTGTATACATTTATATAATTACACCTGTTTGCATAGACAAACATGCATATGCAAATATGTGAATTAAAATTCGTATATATAACATGCCTTGCATATTCGTGGACATTTGGTGGTAACAACCAAATAATTGAAAATGTAAAATCTTGTATCACAGATGTTTTTTCCTTTACCTTGCCTCATAATTCATCTTTATTGGAACTTGTTACTGGGGCAAGAATATTAGACATATTTTTAAAAGCCATCTGTCTTAAAAATATTTTATTTTCTTTTATTGCCTGGTATTTTCAGATAAAAATTACAAAATATTAATATAGTAGTATACCAGCTATATGCAGTATATGCTGCAGTGAGCTGTGAAGCAGATGTAATACCTGTCACTCCATAGAAGCTGAACACCAGAACATATGCAATATTTTGTTCAACTTCCTTTTCAACAGTCCAAAGGAGTGTTGTGAAAGAGCTCTGAGTTTCCTCAAGTCTCTTGTCTCCTCAGGTAGCTACAGGGCCAATTTTGTCAACAAAGTGCTGTATACCAAGGTGCCCCATGAAACATCCATAGCTCCACAGGCTAGAATTGAGTAAATTACATAAGATTGCGTGTGCCAGCTTTATGTTAGTCAGTAATTCACCAGCACAAGCAAAATTTTCAGTTCCGGTCTGAGTATTTTGATTCTGTTTATGAATATGAGAGCAGTACACAGAGGAGAGTGTGGTAGCAGAGCATTTGTTTTGTCTGCTTTTTGTTACTAAACAGTGGATCTTCACTGCTGCCCTATGAGTATACTTGAGTGTTCATACAGAACAGGAGGGACACAAGCCCCTGAACATTAATTTTACCTGTATCTGAATATTTTAAATTACACTTGGATGTTAAAATTTTACTTGTTCGTTTTTATGTGCATAGAGTTTCAACTAGCCTAAACAGGCAATGATAGGCTAGTAGAGGTTATAGAAAACTAAATTGTGAACCTTTATACAGCTTATCCTGACTACAAGATTCAAGGACTTGGGTGCAGCACAAAGCCGCATGCTAGTCTTTTCAAAGACACCTAAATCCAGTTCAAACATGACTGCTTCTACCTCAGATCTGCTTGACTAGAGTCAAGTCTTCCAAACTTAAACTGGAGTGTTAGAGAAAAACAATTCTGTTTGTGAATGACTTTGGAAAATAATATAACTTTTATTGCTAATTATTTTGTTCTTTCAATCTTTTCTGCCCCATGATATCATAAAGAAAAGGAGATAGGAAAGGGCCCTATCTGATAAACAGAAATTTAAAAATATGTGTAATTTGGAAATTTAGGCTGTGAAAATAGCTAGATGTGTAAGTAGTAGCTTTTTTATTTAGTTTTCTTTTTCTCTATATTTATGCTAATCAATGAAGTCTTGAATATTAGTGAAGTTTCTTATATGAATTTGTTTTCATTTACAAAACATTCTATTACAGAGATATTTTTATTATGAAAGTTTAATGTGAAGTTTCTCTTCTTTGTCTTGAGGGTGATGGCAGGATCTCGCTTCATTCTCCTTATAGTTACAGAACAGCATTGAGGCTATCAGGGGACATGCTTATGTTGTCATTTCCAGAATTAGTCCTTGGTACTTGATAAATTACTGCATTCATTCCTTGGGGTTTAGCATATTGGAACCCAATTAGAATGGCTGAATTATGGTCTCCTGTAGATCTGGCACACAGCTCTCAAATTGTATTCAAAGAGTTCAGGGATTTCCTTCCTTTTCACTGTAAACAGTATGTTGGTATAAACTCATTTTAAATTCTATATGTATTGCTTAGGTAATTTTGACAGTATTTTTGGAACTGCAGAAGTAGCTTGGATTACGTGATACAGAGTAAAGTAAATAAGAAGCAAAGAGAGAAGTTGTCTTTGACATTATTACTTAATTCTTAGACCGTTTCTTCAAGGTAATTAATGCTATTATGCCATAACATACCCATCACCTACAGAAGAGAGTATTGCTTCGATTGTTTGCTTTTGCCAGATGAAGAATCACATACTGCAACATGTCTTTCAGCTCTGGCTTGCTGATGATTGCTGGCTACAAGCAAACATGTATTTAGGTATTCATCAGGACTTTGATCTTGAAGACCAGAGGCTGTATTGTTTCAGTGTTATGGCTGGACATGGCAAGAGTCATTATTTCAATGTAGAACTGGGCAGTGAATTGGCAGTGTGGGAGAAATCATTTCAAAGAGCAATTTTCTTGGAAGTTCAGAGAACCGGGGTAAGTAATGAATAATTTAAATCCTGGAGCCATTTAATCAGTAAAATAAGTATAACAAATGTTTAGGTTATTTGTCTGTTTAATAACTGCATTAGATTGATGTCCTCCATGACTAAGGATCTAAGTACATTTTAATACACTGAAGGCTTCTGAAAGCTTCATCATCATATCAATTTTTTTTGTCAATGACTATGTAATAGCAGTCAGTTAGCATGTTATGACAGCTTAAAAATTGGAAGTAGTAAGTTGACCTTGATTACTACGAACTGAAAATGAATAAATTCTACTACTGGAAAATTCTCTGGAGTTTATTTAGTCCACCTCGAACATTTTCTTCCAGAAACCTTATTTTCCTCTCACGTAAGGTAAATACGTTACATTTCACATAATAGTTCTCTTTTCAAAGAAGAACTATTTTGCTGTTATATTGTTAGTTGTGAATTGGGATTGTCCTTGTTAACATTGGAAGAGTTTGAACACTCAGCATGAAAGATAAAGGAAAGTTTGTGATAGTCTTAAATTCTCAAAATTAAACAGCAGATTATCATTTTCTACTGGCTAGTAAATCTAGATCCATACTCTCAAGTGAACTGGAGGTATGGGAGTGTATGGATTGAGACTATAGGCCTTCTCCAATTAAAAATATGTTTACACAGTTTAGCACAAATGCAAACTTGATTTGGTATGCTCAGGTTTGCAGGAACCTCCTAGAAATGTTTGAAATACTGAGAACAGCATTGCATTAGCACAGCTTGCAAGGAGCAAGGAGTCCCAGCACGGGTGTTGAATCCGCTCATCTGAATTTTCAAATCTCTGGGATTCTAATGAGGTTTCTAGGTTCTGACAAGGTACTTACTTAGAACCATTCTATTTGTCTCTTTAGACTGATGGAATAACAAAGTAAGAGTTTTTAATGGTAATGCTTTTGCTCCTGCACTTCTGAGAAGGGATGCAGTTTTTCAGGAAAAAAATTGATTCTTCCTGAAAAATTGCTGGGTGTCAGGGAAGGATTAATAATGCATATTTTCTTACATGAATTCTTCAAGAAATTAGGATATGACTGTTTGTCCAATCATTCAATTCTCCTATTTATTATCCATATAAAAAGCATATAACATATAATAAAAATTAAGTGTAACAAGGGTGGAGATTAGCTGGTTCTGTATTTGGTTAGATTTTAGAATATTCACTGTTAAATCTCAAAACTTGTTATTCTTTTATATTGTAACAATCTTAAGGAATTATTCTTTACTTGTGGAATGATCTTTTGTGATTTGAATCCAGCAGTCCTCTAGACTCATTTCACTCAAAAGACGTTACTATTTCCTGCAGCTGTGGTTTAACCTATCTGAAACCTCCAGGAGAGGTGTCCAAATAAAATCCTTATTATAGTGCTTAAATCTCCATATGTGTGTTCCATATCTTAATTTTCTCTCACACAGTTGGATAGATTCAACTTTACTGTAAACCACTATGTCAGTAGGGTGCAGAGTGCTACGGTCACTCTCCAGCAGTGAAAAGTCTTGTGATTCCACTACTTTCTTTCTTCGTTCAAAATATAAATGCCACTGTGAATACCTTTCTTTTCAGAAGTATATCAGAAGCAGCATGAATGAGGTGCAACTTAATATTATATAGATTATTTCAAGCCATAGAAAAAGAACTGGCATTTCAGTATCTGGAAAACTGAAAGTATGTTAGGGTGTCTGTTAGTATGTTAAAATGTCCATTAAAGTTCTTTCTTTTGGAGAATTTTGGAAATTCTTTTTTATTCACAAATGATTGGGCAAGATTCGTGAAAGGTGTTAGATTGCACTGTGTCATTTCAGCCATCCTTATTTAAATGTGGCTTGATTCTGTTTACTGGTGAGTGTTAGGATCATACCTATGAGTTGTTGCTAACCTTATCGTGTTCATATCCTTTGTATTTGGTGTTTCTATAATAAGAGCTATATTTCTGAGAAGATTTCATCCTTATACAGTTTATGAAAAGAAATTTTAAGGTGCAGTGGTCCCTTTGAATTTTAGCTGCCCATGTTGTGTGGGTTTTTGTTATACTTTTCTTCTGAAGATGGCAGCAGCATTAGATGACAGAAAGAATGCAATAAAGCAGGAAGAAACCCCCCTCACAATACTATTCCCCTTTCAGCTGTCTTAAAGCCCTATTCTAAGAAACTGTGAAATTCAGTGACCCTGATGAAATTATTCTATTTACAGGCAATGATAGCAAGCAAACACATGTTAAATCCATGTGCTAGAAATATATGTATTTTTTTACTAGAAGAACTATTGTAGTTGCTGATGGCGTAACTTGGACAGATGGGGCAATAAAAGTGCAACAGAAATATGACAGAAAGGCAGTTGAAAGGGAGAAAAAGTACTGTTAAAAAGTATTTCCATGAGGCTGGTAATAAAAGTCAGTGTTGCAATGGAGGAAGATAGGCAGTGAAGTCCTCTGAATCATAACTTGAAGATAAATCTTCTCCCACAAATCCTGGCAAGAATATTTGTCTCATCTGGAACATCCTAAAAAGTGCAGGACCAGTAAATGACGCTCAGATTAAGTAATTTATATTCTTCTTTTTTTTTCCAAGTTTTTTTGCGGTGCAGACAATCTTCAAAAATAAAAAGCTAGCACATTTTCCAGAGCTCTTACTAATTCTTTGACCCTTTCAGTTGGTCTTGTCAATACTATGGGATTTTATTCCATGTTTTTCAATGTTATCTTTTTTAAATTACTTAATCAGTATTCTTCCCTTGCCTCAGACTGTTCTTTCAAAAGGAAATTATATTGACTCACCTGAGTTTTATGTGATTGTTAAATTAATGCAGAAACATCTCAAAGGGATGATTTGGATCAGTTCTGTTCAACAGGAGGATGGAGGAGGATATATTATCTGGCAGTGGACAGAGAAAAGAGTGACAGTGATATGTTTCCCTGTCAGCTGTAGAAAAACCAGCAATTTTAGCATCTTGAAATCTTTTGCATTTAAGCTTAGTTACATGGCTGGAAGAAGACAAAGAGGAATCTGCTTCACAAATGGAAGAACTCTCAGGAGACTGAAAAAAACCATGCATGGAAAGTCATCTACCACAGCATTTCCAAAATACCTGCAATTGGTATATAGTGATGAGACATGATTACCTACTCTGCTCACTTGCAATTCTAACACAAACAAAAGTTTTCCCATCATACTTCCAGCTGTGATACAGATGCTACAAGTTTTTTCCAATCTTCATACAGTTGAATAACCAAGTTTCATGAGGCCATTTGCTTTGCTTGAACAAAAAAAATGTTGTTTAATATGAGTTAATCCATAAATTAAAATAGGTTGGATTCCACTCAATTAGAATATTCAAGAAGTTTCGCTGCCTGGTTATTTTCTGTGCTTAAAGGTAAGTACTTCTAGTGAACTTCCTTCCATTTTTTTCTGTGGTTTAGGGGCTGATCTTGACAGATAAATAAACCCTGGAAATAATAAAATTATAATCTATATTTGGTGAGGTCAGGGATGGGAAGGTATTGTGCTAAGAGAAATGTTAGCAGTAAAATTCATGTTCCTGGAATGATACAAATTCCCCCTGTGAAGAATATACCTTACCAATAAAATAAAATAAAACAAAAAAATAATGAATGTTGCACATGAGAGTGACATACCTTACAGTATACTTAGTCCACCATCTTCCTTCCCCAGACTTTAACATTTCCCTCTATACACTGTGTTTTCTGGGCTGATCTATATGAAATACCTGAGGAATCTACTATGTTACTGATTGTTAAAAATCCTCTGAAAGGGTTCACTAGAACTAATTCAAAACACAAAGAAGTTAATAAATTATTTTTAACTGATTTCAATAACCTTTCAAGGAAACCAGTATTTTTTCTCATTTAGTTGACTATATTCTATGAATATCAATGTAGTAGAATATCTTGAGCAGTTCCAGAAAGAGCCAAAATTAATTTATGTATTTGCGTGTTTATTCTTTGTGCACTGGAGATAACAATAAATTCCTCATTATTTCAAAATTAGGAGCCAAATGGGAAAATCTTTTGCATAAAAGTTCAAATGGCTTCTAAACCATTTTTTTGTGCAACCGAATATCAATGCATATTTTAGCAATGTACCTTTGTATTTGCTTAAAGCTGAGTATTCAACAAGCCACTAAGAATGTAAATAGTGATATATGCTGATCAGGAATGCATATTCCTTGCATTCCTTGCATGGCGGCCAAACTGCACGTAAGTGTGGAATTAGCCCCACCTGAAACTATTTTTTTAGCATGAAAGGTAAAAGTTCAATTGAAGATTTTGGATCTCGAGAAAAGTGAAGTGTTTGTGATATTCAGATCCAGGCAGCCTAAAGAGAAGTTCAGTTCCTGGGTGTCCTTCCTGGAAAATTACACAAAATGTGTTTTCTAGTCATTTTTCAGTGTCATTTTGAATTGGGCCTACTACAACTAAAGTTGGATCTAGATCTTAGGGACCGTGTCCCCACTGGGACTTGCTCAGAGATTAGTTATCTTTCTGCTTTTCTTTCTATCTCAGCTTACGTAAGTCTTCAGACTACCTGATTTCTGAGATGCTCAGGACACTTTGGCTGTCTCAGTGACTGCCATCAAAACAAACACACTCATTTTTTCTAGGCATCTTTGGGAATCATATAGTTCTTTGGAAATAATAGTCTAAATCACCCTCAGACTGAGCAAAAGAAGTCCATTTAAATAAACAAAATCTAGCAGAAATTGGGCAGTCTGAATAAGAACTAATTGTCATTTCTAGCTTTTGAATCTATTAATTCTTCACGGTGAACTGAGAAGACGAGTAAAACAGGATTGGTTGATCACAGTGTAAGCCTTGTGAGCTGCAAATAATATATTTAAAATGCAAAAATGTTAAATACAGTTGGCAATGCTATCTTACTTTTTTACTCTATGATGATTACAAACCACATATGAAACAGAATTATATGTACAAATGGAAATACACTAATTTCAGAACT